CACCGTCCCCTTGCACCATCCCCTTGCATGCACCACCCTCTTGCACCCTCCTCTTGCATGCACCGCCCTCTTGCACTGTCACTTGCATCCTCCTCTTGCATGCACCATGCTCTTACACCATCATTTGCACCGTCCCCTTGCATGCACCACCCTCTTGCACCATCATTTGCACCATCCCCTTGCACCCTTTGCAAGAAGCTGCGGCTGCACCCCTTTTCCCCCCCCCAAAAAAATCCTGCAAAATTTGCAAAGCAGGCACTCACCCTCCCCTTTTTTGGGGGGTGGGAAGGGGAAATCCACCTTGCGTAGGTGTGTCTGCCACCATTTTGGGTCTAAAAGTGGCGATTTAGGGGACGAGGCTGAGAAATTGGGTGGGAGGCTGCTGCGTGCAAGGGGGGTCACCCTCTGCTTTTGGAGGGGGCATGCACCCTGGATTTTGGGGGGGGTGCACCCCCGATTTTGGGGTATAACCCCAGGATTTTCGGGGTGTACCCCAGATTTTGGGGTGTAACCCCTGGATTTGGGGGGTACACCCCAGATTTTGGGGGGTACACCCCAGCTTTTGAGGTGTAACCCCTGGATTTGGGGGTACGCACCCCAGATTTTGGGGTGCATGCACCCTGACCCCCCCCCTTGCTTGCTAAACAGCCCCCGGCCCCCGAATGCAGTGCTCCCCCCTCCCCTGGTTCCCTCCACGCCCCAAAAACCCTTCCCGGCTTTGTGCGTAGCCAAAATCCCCCCAAATCAACCCAAAAATGGTGTGTTCCCCCCCTCCCTTTGCACCCCCGGGTGCTGCACCCAAGGGTGCTCCCCTCGGTTGGGTAATGGTGCTAACCCCCTCCTCTTGTGTCCCCCCCCCCCAAAAAAGCCTTCCTCGACGGCTTCACGGAAGCGGAGGAGGACGACCTCAACAACCTCTGGGCGACGGCCTCGACCTTCATCGTCCTCTTCATCCTCAGCCTCTTCTACAGTGCCACGGTCACCTTGATCAAGGTACCACCCAGCCTTCTCCCAAATCCTTGATTTTTTTCCCCCTTTTTGGCAAATACCAATTTTTTCCATGCTATACTTGGAAAAAACCCCTATTTTTCCCCAAAGCCTTGCAAATAATCTCTACTTTTCCTCCCATTCTTGCAAAAAATCCCTATTTCCCCCATCCATGCAAAAAATCCCTATTTTTCCACCCTATCCTTGCAGAAAATCCTTAATTTTCCCCAAAGCCTTGCAAAAAATCCCTACTTTTCCCCCATCCTTGCAGAAAATCCCTTTTTCCCCATCCTTGCAAAAAATCCTTATTTTCCCCAGATCCTTGCAAAAAATCCCTACTTTTCCTCCCATCCTTGAAAAAAAATCCCTATTTTTCCCCCATCCTTCAAAAATCCCTATTTCTCCCATCCTTGCAAAAAAAAAAAAAAAACCCCTTTTCCCTCATCCTTGCAAAAATCCCTATTTTTTCTCCATCTTTGCAAAATATCCCCCTTTTTCCACCCATCTTCACAAAAAAAATTCCCTTTCCCCCCCATACTTCCAAAAGTCCCCTTTGTCCCCATCCTTGCCAAAACCTGTTTCCCCCCATCCTTGCCAAAACTCCCTATTTTTCCACCCTATTCTTGCAGAAAATCCCTATTTTCCCCAAATCCTTGCAAAAACTCCCCACTTTTCCCCCATCCTTGCCAAAAAAATCCCTAATTTTTCCCTATCCTTGCAAAAAACCCTATTTATTCTAACCCATTTCACTAAAATCCCTGTTTTTCTCCCCTTCCTTCCAAAAAAACCCCTATTTTCCCCCATCCTTCAAAAATCCCTATTTTTTTTGCTATCCTTGCCAAAAAAATCCCCCTTTTTCCTTCATCCTTGCAAAAATCCCTATTTTCCCCTCCATTTTTGCAAAATACCCTATTTTTTCCCCCATTCTTGCCAAAAAAATCCCTATTTTTTCCCCATATCCTTGCAAAATAGCCCCATTTTTCCTCATCCTTGCCAAAAAATCCCTAATTTTTCCCCATCTTTGCAAAAATCCCTATTTGTTCCCCATCTTTGCAAAAATCCCTATTTGTTCCAACTAATTTCACTAAAATCCCTAGTTTTCTCCCCTTCCTTCCAAAAAATCCATGTTTCCCCCATCCTCCAAAAGTCCCTATTTTTCCCCATCCTTGCCAAAAAAATCCTATTTTTTCTCCCATATCCTTGCAAAATATCCCTATTTTTCCCCATCCTTGCAATAAAACCCCATTTTCCCCCATCTTCTCTAAAATTCCTATTTTTTTCCTCATCCTTGCAAAAACCCTATTTTTCTCTCCCCCAGTTACATAAAAATCCCTATTTTTCCTCTATCCTTGGAAAAACCCCTATTTATTCCCCAATCCTTGCAAAAATCCCTATTTCCCCCCCATCCTTCCAAAAGTCCCTATTCCCCCCCCCCATTTTTGCTAAAATCCCTAATTCCTCCCTGCCTTTTTCACTAAAATCCCTTTATTTCCCCCATCCTTACCAAAACTCTTTTTTTTCCCCCATTCCTGGAATTTTTTCCATCAATCCTGTCTCTTTACAGGATTTTTTTGCTCAGACCCACCTTGCCACATCCCATCACCCCTAATTACACAAATAACTCACTAATTCCCCTTTTTTCCCCCATTCCAGGTGAAATAATCCAGCTCCCGATGCATTTCTCCGCCCGAAACCGCCGCCTCATCCCCTCCGTTGACGGATATTGCTGGAATTTTTCGGGATTCTCCGACCCCACTTGTATTCCCCCCTCCCCCTTGTAAATATTCTCCATCCTGAAAATAAAATTTTCCAATTTTCCCTAATTTTCCACATTATTTTCTCTGGGATTACACAATTCAAGGGGGGACGACCCCATTTTGCAGCCCTAGAAGGGTTCAACCCCAGCACCCACTTTGGGGGGGGGCTAGGTAGGGGGAGGAAATATTTAGGGGTGGAGGGGTCACAATGGGGACCCATTTT